CGATTGCTATATATAAGGTTATAAAAAAATGCACCGGTAAAATCGCATTAATGATTGTTCTAGGTTAACAAATAAATATGTGACGGTAAAATCGCTTTAACGATTGTTATAAGTTTTAAAAAATAAATGCGACGGTAAAATCGCATTAACGATTGTTTAAAGGAGCTAAGTCTCTAATTCAATATTTTCCATAATATTCGAAATATTGGTCCATAATTCAATTCATATTATTGGTGTTGTTATGTTGCCGTGAAAATGTAAGATCCCGTTAAAAGCTGACTGATTAATTTTGATAACGAGTGTCCAATTTACAAGTAATTAATTTCCTTACCACTGTCCAAAAATTAATCATTATACATCAATAATCAATTGGGTTGTTTCTTTTTTAACAGTGATCGAGAAATTAAACGCTTGTAAATTGAACACTCATTACCAAAATTGAATGGTCAGTTTAAATTGGACACAAGTACAAATTAGATGAATTTTGGTGATTTTCAATGATTTTTACGAATTTTTGAACAAGGATTTGATGATGAATAAACGTGAAAGAATTTAGTGCTAAATACACAAGATTAAATGATACCCGGATTACAACATATAAATGTTGCGCTTATCAGAGTCTCTATTTTGGACTTGGCTCTCTCGCTAAAAATAAATGCGAGTGTTAAATCGCGTTAACGATTGTTATATGGTTTCAAAAATGAATGCGACGGTAAAGTCGCATTAACGACTGTTATAGGATTTTTAAAAAAAATGAGACGGTAAAATCGCATTAACGAATGTTTAAAGGAGTTAAGTGTCTAACTCAATATTGTCCATAATATTTGAAATTAAAAACACAAATTAGAATTCATTATTGGTCCATCCTAATATCCAATATTTAAGACACAATGAACATTTTAATATGTGGTACACGAGTCGTGTACCATATCTTTTCGATGCAAAATCAATGAACAAAGAAAAACATATCCTAAATTACAATGCGACAGTAAATAGTGATGGCTGATTCACAAATAATAAACAAGCCAACAGTGAAGCTGATGTCCCCCGCCCAAATCCCAAAATAAATAGATGACACATGTTAATTTATCGCACATTTATTTTTTTCAAAAGTATCAAGCAATCAAACTGATTATCAACTATACACTAAGTTTCATCACTCCCTACCAGATAGAATCAAAGTTATCTTGTCCTAAGGCATTGACCAGTGAAATTGAACACCTACATCAAGTTTAAACACTCTACCTCAATTAAAAGCAGAGTTGTTATGTTCCAAAGTCTTAACAAATCAAATTGCTCATCTCTCCTTAGCCTAAGCAGAAAGTTCTCATCATCGAACTTAGTCAAGGTAATTATATAATGAATCTAACTCGGAGTTTCATCACACTCACTTAATTATAACCAAAGTTATCGTGCCCCAAAGCATCAACCAATCAGATTGTTTATCTCTGCTTACCGTAAGCAGACATTGTTTATCATCGAACTAGATTAAGGTATTCACCCAATGAACCCCTAACACCAAGTTTGAACATTCTACCTCAATTAGAAGGAGAGTTACCGTGTTCAAAAGTCTCGGCCAATCAAATTGCTTATCGCTCTGTTTACCCTGAGCAAAAAGTGCTCATTATCGAACTTAGTCATGGTATTGATGTGATAAAACTATACACCAAGTGTCCTCACTCTTACTAAATTAGAACTTACGTTATAGTGTCCCAAAGCAACAACCAATCAAATTGCTTATCTCTGCCTACCCTAACCAGAAAATTCTCATCTTCGAATTCCATCAAGGCAATTACATAATAAACACCTACGCCAAGTGTGAACATTCTAGCTCATGGGAGTTATTGTGTCCCAAAGTTTCGACCAATCAAATTGCTTATCGTTCTGCTTACCCTGAACAGAAAATGTTCATGATCGAACTTAGACAAGGTATTGATGTAATAAAACTATACACCAAATTTCATCACTCTCACTTAATTAGAACTTAAGTTATCGTGTCCCAAAGCATCAACCAATCAAATTGTTTTATCTTTGCTTACCCTGAGCAGAAAATGTTTATTATCGAACTCAGTCAAGGTATTGATGTAATAAAACTATACACCAAATTTCATCACTCTCACGTATTTAGAACTTAAGTAATCGTGTTCCAAAGCATCAAATTGCTTAACTCTGCTTACTCTACGCAGAAAAAGCTCATCTTCGAACACCATCAAGGCATTCACCTAATGAACCCCTGCACCAAGTTTGAACATTCTACCTCAATTAGAGAGAGATGGAGAGAAATGGGGTTTAACGTCCACTCGACACAAACTAGGTCATTTCGGGACTAACATATGGTTCAATTTTATTTCAATAATTGTAGGGGTCTTTAGCAGTGGGAGGAAACCGGAGGACCCGGAGAAAACCCACGAGGTTGGACAGGCGACCCTACTCCTTGTCACGTACAACCGGGGAATCGAAACCACGCCAGTTGAATCAATGACAGTCCTTATGATACAGCGCGCCCATGCTAACCATTCGCCCCCCCCCCCCCCCCGACCTCAATCAGAAGGAGAGTTGTTGTGTTCCAAAGTCTCGACCAATCAAATTGAGCTAGAATGTTCAAACTTGGTGTAGGTGTTTATTAGGTCAGTGTCTTGGTGGAGTTCGAAGATGAACATTTTCTGCTTAGGGTAAGCAGAGGGATAAGCAATTTGATTGGTTGATGCTTTGGGACACGATAACTTTAGTTCTAATTAAGTGAGAGTGAGGACACGTATAGCTTTGTTTACATCAATACCTTGACTAAGTTCGATTATGAACATTTTCTGTTCAGGGTAAGCAGAACGATAAGCAATTTGATTGGTCGAAACTTTGGGACACAATAACTCCCATGAGCTAGAATGTTCACACTTGGCGTAGGTGTTTATTATGTAATTGCCTTGATGGAGTTCGATGATGAACATTGTCTGCTTACGGTAAGCAGAGATAAGCAATCTGATTTGTTGATGCTTTGGGGCACGATATCTTTGGTTATAATGAAGTGATAGGGATGAAACTCCGAATATAGATTCATTATATCATTACCTTTACCAAGTTCGATGGTGATAATTTTCTGCTTAGACTAAGGAGCGATAAGCAATTTGATTGGTTAAGACTTTGGAACATAACAACTCTGCTTTGAATTGAGATATAATGTTTAAACTTGATGTAGATGTTCATTACGTGAATGTCTTGACTGAGTTCAATGATTAACATTTCGAGATGAAGCTAAGCAGAGCTAATCAATTTCATTGGTCGATGCTTTGGGACAAGATAATCTTGATTCTGTCAGATAGAGAGTGATGAAACTTAGTGTATAGTTATTGTTTGGAAAAAATACATGTGCAATTAATTAATATGTGTCATCTATTTATTTTGGGATTTCGGAGGTGGCCATCAGCCTCACTGTTGGCTTGCTTGGTTTTTTTTTAAAAATTTAATATAAATCACTTTATATACCCTCATATTACATTAATATGTGCTTTTAGACCCCTTTATAGTTCCAAAAAAAAAAATTCGACGGTAAAATCGCATTTACGATTGTTCTGAGGTTAATTAATTACTTGGATTACATTTTTGGGTATCAACCTTCCAAAGTTTTATAACCCGTTTACCACTTCATTAATAGATTATGCGACACCTTTATAATGAAAGCTATGTATGCATGCGGAACCAGGTCCAACAATTTTCCTTTGTCGAAAGGGGATCACGTGGCTAAGTGGGTGAGACGCTGACTCGCTAGTCTGGAGGTCGGGTGTTCGATCCCGGCATTGGCCGAGAAAGTTCATCCAGATTTTCCGGCGTGGTTCCCCCTTGTCAGTGATGCAGGACGGAGGGCCTGACAAGGACAGCTGTCTAGTCCTTTGGATGAGACAAAAAAACCGAGGTCCTGTGTATACATTGGAATGCACGTAAAAGACCCATTGGCAGTTGGAATTCGATAAAAGAGTACGCGATAGTGCCGCTGCCTGGGCAAAATTACCCTCATAGCACACTGTATGGCGTATGCCCGTCTTCATTAGCCCAGCATAGGAGCAGAACAGTAGGACGTAAAACCCCATTTCATTTCATTTCCTTTGTCGAAATCAGTACTAGTAGTTCTTATTTTGCAAATACAACACCGCCACCATTTTTGCAATGCTTTGGGTAGGCTTTGCTTTTTGGTATGATTTGTTTTAAAATATTATATAGATTCACTGTTGGAAGTAAACACAGGTTAGATTCATATAATGCTATAAGTTTATCAAATCTAATACGGTTCTGTTTATTGTATAGTGCTACAAATGGTCGCAGTGACACGGGACTCCGTTTGCCGATCAGTTTTTAAAGGTGATCGACAAAAGGTATATTTTGCTTTTCTGAGTTTTTGTTCATAGGTAATCCCGCATGCTTCAAAATAGAGCTATGTGAGTAGCCTCTCCAATGATCCCCATATACACGTAGAGCCATGTAGCCAGGAGTAGCTATCCAGTAATCCAGTATATAGGTATACCAGAAAATGACTCTAGGATACAGGAATTTTTTACAAGCCATTTAATTTTGCTTGACTGTTTACCACATTTCAATCAGCGTTAAACTTATATCGTGCTCCAAACAGCAATATAAATATTGTTTTTTGTTGGTGCCCCACAACGGATCTTGCCCCTCATCCAAAATACGTCAGTCGTATTCGTCATGATGCATAAACTATAAATGAGATAGCTTGTCGATAAAACTGTGGCCCCGGGCATCTTTTACTACCTGTAAGAGATACCGTGGAGTCTAATTTGATCCCCAGTAAACATTTTGTTATTGAAACGTGCCGGATTGAGACAGCTTCTGGGAAAATTAATAGAAAAAAAAATGCCAAAAAACCCAACAAATTTCTATTTCAAAGAAATAGTATAAAATTAATGATAAAATAAATATTTGTTTATGTATGTCTGCAGACTAATACTGGTACATGGGAATGATGTGTGATATACTGGCTGACACTGCCTAGCAAGGTACGTCTAATCCTTCCCACCCCCCTACAACCTGTTACAATTAGTTGAACATGATGCTCCTTGGCAGCATTTATGATAGCATGACCAGGGCTTGATCCAGACAGTCGCAACACTCTACCATTAATCTGAAACGACCAAATATTATCATGCATTTATTAAAGCTTTTCGTCCAGTCATTGAGTATCTTTGTGAATAAAAAGCTATTTAGTAAGAATCATCTTTTTAACCGCAGCGAATCTGTCCAATTTATAATATATCGACATTTTGATGACATTTATCAGATATGGAAGTACATGTAGTTTCTTTTTTTTATCTCATTTTCACAGGAATATTAGGGCTTCAGCCCACAAACGAAATGGGAAGTTTAAGCCACACTACCATGCCGAAATTATTCTTTATGATAAATCACGCATATTAATTTTGAACTTGTGTTTCGCTTACTGATTTTTTTTTAAGTATAATCATATAATCATGACCAGCTTAAATCATGGACTGATCACGAATTATCTTTTGTCATGAATACGGGTAACGCATGATCAAAAGGTGTGGGCAGGGGTACCGTTATCAATTTTCGACTGGTAGGAATGTCACAGATATATATAACCCGGGTATCATTTAGATGAATTTTGGTGATTTCAAATGATATTTACGAATTTTTGAACAAGGATTAGATATTGAATGTGAAAAAAATTACTGCTAAATACACAAGATTAAATGATACCCGGATTACAGCATATAAATATTCCGTTTATTACAGTCTTCTATTTTGGATTTGGCTCTCTCGCTAAAAATAAATACGAATGTTAAATCGCATTAACGATTACTATAAGGTTAAAAAAAATGCGACGGTAAAATCGCATTAACGACTGTTATAGGTTTAAAGAAATAAATGCGACGGTAAAATCGCATTAACGATTGCTATATATAAGGTTATAAAAAAATGCACCGGTAAAATCGCATTAATGATTGTTCTAGGTTAACAAATAAATATGTGACGGTAAAATCGCTTTAACGATTGTTATAAGTTTTAAAAAATAAATGCGACGGTAAAATCGCATTAACGATTGTTTAAAGGAGCTAAGTCTCTAATTCAATATTTTCCATAATATTCGAAATTAAAAAAAACACAAATTAGAACTCAATATTGGTCCATAATTCTATTCATATTATTGGTGTTGTTATGTTGCCGTGAAAATGTAAGATACTTGTACTTGTGTCCAGTTAAAAGCTGACTGATTAATTTTGATAACGAGTGTCCAATTTACAAGTAATTAATTTCCTTACCACTGTCCAAAAATTAATCATTATACATCAATAATCAATTGGGTTGTTTCTTTTTTAACAGTGATCGAGAAATTAAACGCTTGTAAATTGAACACTCATTACCAAAATTGAATGGTCACAGGAATATTAGGGCTTCAGCCCACAAACGAAATGGGAAGTTTAAGCCACACTACCATGCCGAAATTATTCTTTATGATAAATCACGCATATTAATTTTGAACTTGTGTTTCACTTACTGATTTTTTTTTAAGTATGTCTTCAAACGATTGGATTAATCTCTTAACGCCATTTTCTTCTTCATCAAGCATGTTAGACATATATTCGGGACTACCGGCCATTAATGCTGCAAAATCATGAACTATATAGTCTTGCGGATATGTGCTAAAATTGTTCAATTTGTGTTAAAAGTATGAATTTGGCAGACATTATATAGTATACACAGCTTCATGTGCATGCTGACCACCCCAGAAACATCTTAATGACGACATAATGTCGCCACAACTAACTCGCAATCACGAGATATTAACTCGTAATCACGAGATGTTAAGTCGAAATTCAGAGATAAAATATTTTTTCCATTTGATTGACCCTAATGGGTTTTCCAAGGCTTGCAACATTGCGATACAGTATACTGGCACCTATTTTGCTATTAAAAATGAAGATTTTAATTGGCTCAGCATACTTCCTTTTACTTTGGGAGCAGCCGTGGCTCAGAAGGACTCTGGCTCACTAACCAGGTCGTCCCTGGATATTCCAGTGCGGTTTCCACATGTCAATGGTTCAGGACGGAGGGTATGGCAAGGAACAGTGTCTAGTCGTTCGGATGGGACGCAACACCGACTAGGTCTCATGTACATGTCAACGCGCACGTAAAAGAACCTTTGATAGTTGGAATTCTAATGGTATATGTCCATTTTCGTTATTCCGGTTTTTGCAGAAAATTCGGACGTTAAACCCCATTTCATCTATGTTTATCTCGATATCAAGTTTTATACTTTTAACACAAAGTGATGTTTTAACAAATATTCAACGAACTGTAATATACAAGAGGATATGTTACGGGTGTCATGTTAGATTTTCGGTATGACAGGCAGTGCTCGCCATAGGATTTTCCGGAGATAAGCCACTGGTTAGATCAAGTAATTATGCTTCACCATGAGAAAATCTAGCTTTTGGAAAGGTGGGGTGGGGTTGTGGGTATTGTGATACTGTAAACATTTGGACAACTGGCTGGTCAACAGTGCCGTGGAAATATTATGAATTCGGATAGTTCGGATACACAATTATATCCGCGATTTCCGGTAGAAATATTCCGAAGTTTAATATAATCCTCGGGCCTAAATGTAAAATCCACCTTGGTCTAAAAGATTCCAACGAGGAGCATATTCTGCTTCACAAGCTTTAAAATTTAAAAAAAAGACTTGATAAGAAAGATAACACTGCAAATCGCGGTCCAAATTTACGACACGAAGTCATTCTCTAATGAACGATCCCATAGAGTTGCGGTGAAATTTTCTTATAACCAATAATAAACAATAACTGCAAATTTGAAACAAATGTGTAACGCGTCACAAGAAACGTTGATCGTACGACTCAATTGAAGACTGAACAGTTCTTTATCCAGTTTTTATAATTCTTATTTCTTCATTTGTTCCCGTATATAGACATAATTATTGTGTTCTAAAATTAAATGAAATGAAATGAAATAAAATGGGGTTTAAAGTCCTACTGTTCTGCTCCGAACTGGGCTAATGAAGACGGGCATACGCCATACAGTGTGCTATGAGGGAAATTTTGCACGGACAGCGGCACTATGGCCTACTCTTATATCGAATTCCAACTGTCAAGGGATCTTTTACGTGCACGCCAATATGTACACGGGACCTCGGTTTTTCGTCCCATCCGAACGACTAGACAGCTGTCCTTCTCAGGCCCTCCGTCCTGCATCACTGACAAGGGGAAACCCACGCCGAAAAATCTGGATGAACTTTCTCAGCCAATGCAGGGATCGAACATCCGACCTCCAGGCTAGCGAGCCAGCGTCTTACCCACTTAGCCACGTGATCCCCCGTTCTAAAATTAACATGTGTATCTTAAAATCAATATTTGTTTTACAAATATGTCAATTGTCATTGTGTAGAATATGCAGAATGCTGAATAACGAGCTGTTTGGTATTCCATGTGGTCCGACTGGCGCATTTGATGTGAAATGCGGGTATACAATAAAATTACTTATATAATATCGCGCACTGGGATAAACTTACCCGAAGAAGATCTTGTTAGAGAATCAAACTGTGGGCAATATGCCAAAAATACAACATCCCCATCATTCTTCATATTTTTAACAAACCCTAAAAATCGATAAAGAATGTAATTACATGCATCCTCATTCAAATCCCTAAAAATCCACATAAATACACCAGTATTGTCGGTGAGCAGTGGGACTGGGGAGTCGCGATGGCTCAGTGAGTAAGACGTTGGCTCGCTCACCTGGAGGTCCCATGGTCGATCCCTATGTTTCCGGCGTGCTTCCCCTTTCTCAGAGGGCCAAGGTAACAGTCGTTCGGATGGGACGAAAATCTGAGGTTTCGTATACACATTGGCGTGCACGTAAAATAACCCATGGCAGTTGGAATTCGATATGTCTGGGCAAAATTTATCTCATAGGACACTGTATGGTGTTTTCCCCGCTTCATTATTCCAGTCGGAGCAGAACAGTAGAACACTAAACCCCCATTTCATTTAGTGGGACCGACAAATAGTATTTTTCATATTTATAACACGACCTTCCCGCGGGCTTTGATATATTAAATGATAATTGGATAAACATAATCATTAAAAATTTAATTTATGGATGGTTACAATTCGTTTCTTGTATGTCATATTCAAGAAGACCAGATTGGGGGGGGGGGGGGTATTGGTTCATTCGATGAAGTTGGGTAGTTTCGATCTTAGTCTTGTTGATGACAAATAATAAGGTCAGCTAGCTAACCTCGCTGTTTTCTACCACTGCTATAGACCCCAACACACAAGAAAACTATACAGTTCCATTGAGCTCTCCTCAAAATGTTGACTTTGTTATTTTACCCAGCAGACCAATCTATTTGTAGGTTTGGGGCCATGATGTATGTCTGGTTACTCCACCTGAATGACGGGCACTTGAAGGGATTAAAATAAAACTTCTTACTACTGAGTATTACAAATAACACCATGTCAATCACCCACCATATTATTTTGAATCGTTAAAGATATTTCGTCTGCTATCGTATCACAATACTCACTAGTTCTAACACTTTCCGTCGTTTTTATTGCCAACGAGACTTTATTTGATTATTATACACCTTCCAATGTAATTAAATTGGTCATTTTACAGCGTTATTAATTACAAATCAAACTTGAAGCGTGATCACTTGGCTATTCGTATCTTCGACGGACCGGAAGTAAGACGGAAAGTGTTAGAACTAGTGAGTATTCTGAGATGATAGCAGACGAAATATCTTCAACGATTCAAAACAATATGGTGGGTGATTGACTTTGTGTTATTAGTAATACTAGTGAGTCAAACAGTAGTAAGAAATTTTATTTTAATCCATTCAAGTACCTGTGACCTGAATATCCCAGATTCGAATCCTTGCGTGCAGGCGCGGATTTAGAAAGGGGGGGGGGGGCATGAGACCAAGTAAGCGCCCCCGTGAGACAAAGTCCCCTCAGACCCAGTCCAAATTACATATTATCTAAAAAAAAATGCGCGAAAACCTCATAGTTACATAAATATTATACGTAGCTGTCTGAAATTTCTTCGCGCCATTATATTATAGATTCCATTATATCCCCCCCCCCCCCGCCTTCAAGTTGCTCAGTAATATATGGTCACTTCTCTAAGGTTGACAAAAATCAATAATCAAAATATGACATGAACTTTATGTCAACTTGAATAAAACTGCTTTTCGGCGAACAACTATTATAGGCAATACTTATGTTCCACCGAGCCGCTCAGACATAGCCAGTATTTTGTTGACATTCCTTGTGGGGTGGGATTGTGGATGGCGCCCCCCCCCCCCATATTCACAGCTTCTAGATCCGCTACTGTCTGCGTGAGGATAAATGTACCTTCCATTAGAGCGCGTAAAATATCCCACGGTGGTCGGAATTCGAAGAGTAGGCCCTATGTGTATATGTCGCAATCCAGGCAAATTTCTGCTCGCAATGTACACGTAACCATAGAAATAAAAATTACCGTTCGTCAGTCTAAACAGACCAACGCGATGTGTCAACGAGAGGTTAAACCTCATCCCATTACATAGACTATATTTTACTTACATTCAAAAGCAAGAGTAGCATGGGAACTTCCATCCATTGCAACCAAGACGGCCTTTTTTGCCATTTTGATATCCTAGTCGTTTGAGATACAGACCTTCATAAACTATAAACACTTCTCGATTAAGTGATAACCTTAATGCATAGTGTTGTTAATGTTATGCCAGAATCTCGGAGATATGCATTATCTATCATATAGGCCAAGTCAAGATAAGCAGGTGAAGGTAAACTAGACCAAAGATTAATGTACATTGACTCTCCAACGAACATTGGCTTGTGAACGCGATGGAGGCTATAGTTTTATTCATCGAACAAGACAGTTTAGCGTGATCAATAGCCCCAATGGAAATGAAATGGGGTTTAACGTACTACTGCTCCGATTGAACTGGGCTAATGAAGACGGACATACGCAGGGGTGTACATTAAGATTTTTTTTTTTTTTTGGGGGGGGGGGGGTAGCAAAAAATGCGACCGACTGATGCACATGCCTCTAATGCGAGTGACACAGTCATGAGCCGAGCACCACAGGTGCAAGTTTTCTAGGGGCCAATAGCGGATCTAGAAGCTAGGAATAAGGGTTGGGGGTGCCATCCACAATCCCACCCCACTATGAGTCAACAAAATACTGACTTTAACACTGAGCGTCCGGTAGAACATTGATCGTATTGCCTATATACATGTATATAGTTGTTCAACGATCGTTATCTCATCGGAAAGCAGTTTTAAGGTGACATAAAGTTCATTTCATAATATGATGATTGTTATTGATTTTTTTTTTATTGCGAACCCTAGGGGCAGTGGCTATAACACTAAGCAACCTGAGAAAATTTTAAAAAAGTGAATCACTATCCTGGAGCTGGGAGCAAAATATTGTGAACAAGATAACTAGGAATCGGGGTCAATTTCGCCGGTTTTGAAAGAGTTGACAGAACATTTGTACAGTCTGAGCCCCCCCCCCCCCACGACCCACACACCAGTGGCACTACTAACTGGGCAGTTCAGTATAACAGTGAATATGATAGCGCTGAGACAGTATAAGATTACAGAGGAGTGGAAGAATAATGGAATCTAAGTGCCTTAGGCGCGAAAACATTTCAGATATGTGACTGAGCTTTTAATTTTTTGGGACTAGGCCTGACAATTTTAGTCAATGTCATGACAAATGGGACCAAATTCTCGTTAACGAGTGGACAAGAAATGGGGCAGAATCTTGAGGCCTGTCTGTCAATTTCGCCTGTTTTGTGAGAGTAGAAATAACAGTTATACAGTCTGTCGCTCCACGACACGACTCACCATGGGCGCAGATCCCGGTGGGGACACCGGGACGCGTCCCCACCAATATTTTTAGTGGTGGGGACATGATATACTGTGTCCCCACTTATTTCCGATGTTTTGCTTACTGTTTATTTTTTTAAATTGAAATCATTCCAGAGCTTTTATTGACATTTCAGAAAGTGTAGAGTTAGTCCCAGGTACTTGAGGCCAGGGTCCTTGAAGTTATACAGCTGCAACCGGTGACCGATTTTTATTTAACAGGGAATAAGTGATAATTCATATTATAACAGTAAATAATTAAAATATTCCAAATGGATTACAATAATATGTATCTCATGTAGGTGTGCATATCTGATACGCTGGGTATGAAGGGGTTAAGGAATAATTGAGATTTTGTTTTTATCTGGTATACTGGATGATAAATCACCAAACTAAAATGAAATGGGGTTTAACGTCCTACTGTTCTGCTCCTAACCTGGGCTAATGAAGACGGGCATACGCCATACAGTGTGCTATGAGGGAAATTTTGCCCGGACAGCGGCACTACGGCCTACTCTTATATCAAATTCCAACTGCCAAGGGATCTTTTACGTGCACGCCAATGTGTACACGGGACCTCGGTTTTTCGTCCCATCCGAACGACTAGACAGCTTTCCTTGTCAGCCCCTCCGTCCTGCATCACTGACAAGGGAGAACCACGCCGGAAAATCTGGATGAACTTTCTCGGCCAATGCAGGGATCGAACACCCGACCTCCAGGCTAGCGAGCTAGCGTCTTACCCACTTAGCCACGTGATCCCCTTCACCAAACTAAAGGATTTAGCTTGTATATCGGGATCCGTTCATTATGGTGGCTGATTGGTATCATGTCGTAATGTCGCGTTATGAAAGGCGACAACCCGACATCACGACATTTCTACCCGACATCACGACAACCCGACAACCCGACACCACGACATTTTTACCCGACATCACGACATTTTTACCCGACATTACGACACTAAAAATGTCGTAATGTCGGGTAAAAATGTCGTGTTGTCGGATAAAAATGTCGTGGTGTCGGGTTGTCGTGATGTCGGGTTGTCGCGTTATATCTTGACCATGTTGTACATCTCTATATTCGTTTAAAAAACAACTTAAAACACATTTATTTAATCAGGCTTTTAACTGTATACAATCGTTAACATCGTTAATTTCTGAAATTTTCATGACTGACTTCGAAGAACGCGCACTCAGAACCTCACCTGATACTCCAATTACGTGGTTGCGCAAGGTCGACGATACGTTTGTGGTACTGGAAGAAAAAGATGAACCAATGACCCTATTAGATCACCTGAATAAACAGCATCCCAGAATTAAATTCACCATTGAGACCGAAAAAGATGAAGCACTACCATTTTTAGATGTTCAAGTTGTGAAACAATCAATTGAAAACCAAAATATATCGGAAACCAACCCATACAGATCAGTATATTAATTACAACTCTAGCCACCCCCACTACATCAAAAAGGCCCTTATATCAACCCTAACACGCAGAGCCATAAGCATTAGTGAACCTGAATTTCTGCAGGATGAATTGGAACATCTACGTCATGTGTTTTGCAACTTGAACAACTACCCTCCAGAACTAGTCATGAAACAAATCAAAGAAACAACAAAAAACATCAAAAAAAACAACAAAAAAAGCCCAAAGAGATGATTAGAATAATTTTACCATTTTATGGCAACCTATCATACCAAGTCAGCAACCTACTCAAGAAGTCCAACATTGATACCACATTCTCTGTCCCTACCACATTAAAACAGATACTGAAAGCGAATGGCAAACTAAAGCCAAGCCTACCTATTCAGCCTAAGGGAGTCGTCTACCAAGTCAACTGCTCTTGTGATTTCTCATACATTGGCGAAAGTAAACGACCCCTAGATAAACGAATATCGGAACACAGATCCAAAGCTGCTACCAACATCTCAGTCATAGCAGAGCATCTTCGAAACCACCCGCAGCATAGAGTTGAATGGAACGATGTGCAGATTCTTGCATCCAACCAACAGAACAAGAAAACCAGGAAAATCCTAGAAGCAATTAACATTAGAAGATACTCACCAGAACTGAACAGGGACGCAGGGCTTCACATTTCAAGGTCATATGATCACGTTATCAGGATAAATAATACCACTTAAAGGATTCTTATTCCTCAACTCAGCGGCTTTACTTTACGTCGTTACCTCAAATATTACAAACTGCCTACATTACTTAATATATCACTCTACTGGTTTCTCACAATCAGCCTGCCAACCTGTACATGTTTAATCACCTCATACTGTTTTATTCATATTTTGTTATGGTTTTCATTTGTTTAACATCATTTATTTCCTGGATTGCTTAATTAGTAAGCATATATTTTTCATGTTTATTTAGACAATGGATGTAGGGTTATGTTGTGTTTGTATTTCTTGGTGAATAGTCTGATCTTGATCACCTCATTAACTGTAATATGGTTTCACCCAATGGCTCCCGTTGAAGGCATTCATTGTTAGTCAACATTATCCTTTGGTTGGACCGTGGGTCTATTATATTGTGTTGTTTTTGCTTAATCTTTTACTTCTTAATGTTATTATTATTTAATTTTTGTAGATGGCTTCATCATGAACTCTTATATATTAAATCCAAGTTTACTAAATGTCATAACTGTCATCAATTAAATAGAGAATCTAGCAGAGAGGGGAAAAACTCTCTGTCTCAAATCTCTCCTTTCTCCACAACCTGACGATAGAGACTGGACATCACAACTTGTCTGGAATTTTATTGAGAATATAGGGATGACCAAATATATAAAATAATAAAATTAATCAATTAAACAGTAGGGCGGAACGTAAAAATGTCCTCTAGAAGGAAGCGTAAACCGCCCTACACTACTAATAAAACTCCGATAAAATTAATAAATCAAATTATACAATGTAGGATGAAGCGAAAAAACGTCCCCTAGAGGGAATCGCCACCTGTCCTACACCACAAATAAAACTATTAATTAATAAATCAGGGTGATAGCGCAAAAATGTCCCCATAAGAGGGAAACGCTACACACCCTGAAATATTCTTTACACTTTTATTTATTTGACTAAATAAGTATTGATTGTAGATCATATTAAGCCACCATATATGTATTATTGTATTTATTAACTCCTAATAAATTTTGATTGAATGTATATCATACTAACTTGCCATAAATGCATTTTTTTTTCTTCTTCCTCCAACCCCAGCCCCCCCCCCCCCGAAGCCTTACTAGACGAAATAAAAACAAAACCATCACAAGACCAGCTACTCTTTTTTCTCTAGCTTTCTCTTTTCAGGCGCTGGATTCTTCCTTCAGAGAACCAACAACAAAGGAATGAACAACAGAAATAATGACGAAATCAACCACCATACCGGACAACAAAACCAAATGGAAGGAAGAATGGTCCAGGCCTTACACTCACCAACAAGCCCCAAGGAAGAGTTGCACCGCCCTGCCATTCAACCGGACAAATCGACCAGACCGACGAAAATGGCCTAAATATATATATATATACTATTCAAAAAAAGTAGGGGATATTTGATTTTTAAGTGTTATTAAAGTCACCTAATGAAACTGACGAAGAAACAAATGACAAAATGAAATGAAGTTCACATTCTTCGATTTATTCCAAATGATCGTTAGACTAAGTAAGGCACAGACTGACCATTATTAGGGTAAAATGATACCCGGGGTCAAACAGCAAAGTTACCACAGCATCACAACCAAGTCAGTAACGGGTAAATCCTCCTCTGTTTGCCAAACAAGCATTGATCCGACGTGGCATACTCCTAATGAGACGTCTAAGGTCATTTTGGTCCAGATTGTCCCATTCCTGTTGCAACGCAGCAGCAAGTTCTTGGACATTGGCAGGACGTTGTTGACGTTGACGTAACCTCTGTCCAAGCATGTCCCAGACATGCTCGATGGGGGAGAGGTCGGGACTCAGTGCTGGCCAAGGTAATGTGGTGATGTTCTGTTGTTGGAGGTAACCTGTAACGATCCTTGACTCATCTGAAAACATCACATTGCTCCAGCGTCGATTATCCCAGTGTTGACGATCCCTACACCAACGACGTCTTGCCTGAATGTGATGATCTCTCAAACAAGGGATCACGCGAGGACGTCGGGCGCGAAGGTGACCCCTATGCAGTCGATTCCGAATCGTCTGGCCACTCACTCTCACACCAGTGTCTGTTTGAAGACGAGCGCTGATCTGATTTGCTGTGATGACACGATTTCTCAAGGCCAAGGTACGGATAAATCGATCCTGGGCTTGAGTTGTCGCCCTTGGTCGACCTGAGCGTGGTCTGTCCTGTACAGATTGTGTATCACGGTATCTGGACCATAGCCTGCTTATGACAGACTGAGAAACATTCATCGTCCGCGCCACAACCGCCTGTGTTGTGCCGATCTATAGCATGCCAAGGGCACGTAACCTTTCATTTTGGGTAAGCCGACGCATATCAAAATTTGTTTTCTGGTCACTAAAGCAATTAAACTGATGTTTCCACCCTGGAATTCAATGCCACAATGACTGTAACATTCAAAGTCAGAGTCGTGCAAATCTTGGGTTGGACCCCCATGATGATCCCAAGCATCACCTGCATTCCATGCGGTAGCTATTGGTGCGTTTGGGCGTCACATGTAACTGGAAATGTTTCTTCTGTTAGGTTCTATAGTGACTTTTTTCGTAGTCATTTGCATATTTTAGTATTATGCCCCCAAAATCAAATATCCCCTACTTTTTTTGAATAGTATATAATAGGGCCTATTGAATTGTTTATTGCACTATATATTATAGCTATATATACCATATGTTTCATGCATATAATTACTGTTACCATTAATTTTCACCATCTCGGTCTATTTATAGCAATTCTCTCTCTGTTGATATTTTGGTCTAGAATGGACGAATGGGGTTTGAATTAACATTTTCTGCCAGGTTTTGGTAAATATTCATGATTTTGAGGCGGAAGTATTACGGGGTTATCAGGGAGGCTACGGTGATATGTAGGGCAACTAGTTACATATGTTTTTAGTATGCTTCTTCAAGTTCTTGTATCTCAAAATTTTAGTGGTCAACCTCATACAAATTTGAGTGCAAAGACCATTTGTTCCTCTGTCTATAGTGGAAAGCATTCAGCCCAACGAGAATTTGTGGAAAATTTGGAAGTAGGCAAAGAGGCCAGAGTCATGGGGAAATTAATGGTGGTCTGCCTCCTGATGGAGACTCAATAGTATTGGAGTTACTTCCCTTCCCAAGATGTCTGCGCCCTGTTGCAGAAGAAAAATGTTTAAGACTTAAATGATTGAATTATTAGAATTTAAAAAGATAAATAAGAATGTCAGCTTGTTTAAGAAGGATAATTGTTAATCGGGTAAATTTTTAGTTTGAAAAACATAAAAGAGCTCTAAACAGCCTAAAATTAACTCTAATAAGTTGAACTTTACACTATTTACATTCACACTTTTTTTCTATGAGCGTCTTCTTCGCATTAACTTTAATTGAATGTGTCATGGGTATATTATTTTGACTTTGAGCATGACCTCTAGGGTATGATTTAGCCATTCTAGACTAACTTACTGTGTGAACCATCGTAAATTTTAAACGCATTTCTTCGATTACGAACAAACTACTTAACTTTCGTTATAAACTTAACTGTGTGTTTGAAATCAACTCCCGTCCAATAAAATCCACTGCAGAACTAAATATCCCAACGTATAAAAAAGTTCTCTCTTGACAAATTTGACTATTTACTTGTATTTTCGACTGAGTAGACGACAACAATGATTTCGTTACACGTGTTGGACGACCCCATTGCAGCTGTTTTGGGGGTGGTTTAATTTTGACAGATAGTTTGATAACCACTTGTTGCAATGAAAACAAAGCTCGATCGTTTGAGTTTGGGCGACAGAAAATATCAACTGAATATTTATATTGAAACCATGGACCGTATAGCCCCGTTGGTTGGATTCTCTGCTGCTCGCTCGGGACATGACGAGATCTCAATTGTCAACGGCAAATCAAGCGATGTGATATTTGACATAGCTGGATTTTATACAGAATAATTTCTTGAACTTACAGTATTCTTATAGTTACATGGTAATTTTTCAACCCAATAAGTATTCCTATCCGAATTTCTCCAGTTTATAACTTTGGAATTTCCAAATGCAGCAGTTGAAAATTGTGGAATGATCGATTTCAATATTTTCGTAGTTTTTGTAAGCATTTTGGTTTTGCTAAATACTTCAAATTCACGCATGTACGAATGATTTTAAAATTATGAAAATAAAGTTCAGGAATAATACTGTCCGGAATGATGATTAATTGTGCAGAAGTAAAAATTAAAAGAATGTAATAGTAGGTTTGTTTTTAACGAAAACTCAACATGTTTTTTTCGAATTCACAAACAAAGACGATGTCTTGATACATTTACTACATTTATAGTAGTCTATCTATGTATGGGTGGCAAAGAAAAAAAGAGTAGCAATTTTATTTTATTGTCCGGTCTAGTTTTTTGTTGCGGCACAGAATTCTAAAGGCTTCGTGGACATTTCCTGTGCATCTATATACACGGTCCATGTTGAAACCATTGATTGCCAGTCTATCAAATTTTATTCACAATGAAAATATCACTGATACCCATAAAAATTAAGTCATATATAAACTAAAAATATGTTATTAATTTCTCATATTAAAGATAATCATGGGTAATATTTAAGGCCCGTAAAACAAATGTAATTGTTGTTGTGCAGCATGTGTGTTCAAAAGAAAATTATCTCATCCGAGCAGCTAATCAAATAATTAAAACAAAATATTTCAAAAGATGTACAGTTATAAAATTTGCAGAGATTTTACTAGAATGTAAAAGACGGCAACAAAATAAAAGAATATGGACAGTTTTGTGTGTGAACGCCCAAACCCGATGCCGAGCCGAGATTTGTACTGTAGCTTTTTCTTAAACCAAACTTGAATTGTCGTAAAAGTGCCGATTTGCTATGCTGTCACCCCTTATACGAAATGATATCTCCCGAAAGTGACGTTATCAGCTTCCATATTGGTATTTTTCTGTGTCAAAGTTTGTGGGAATTCAATTTTTCAAGAGAGAACTATTTTATTCGTTGGGATAATTAGTTGTTCAGTGGATTTTATTTAACGGGAGTCGATTTCAAACTCACAGTTAAGTTTATAATAACGAAAGTTAAGTAGTTTGTTCATAATCAAACAATTGCGTTTTAAATTTACGATGGTTCACACAGTAGTAACTACGTCGGTACCCAAGGGCAGATCCAGAGACCATGTGGGGGGGGTGGAGGCACGGTCAGTGAAGCCGAAGGCGTCAAGATCACAACATTTCCCTTGGAAAATATCGAATCGAAAGCTAAAACCCGGAAATGCCATTTCCAGTGATCTGAAACAAGAATCCGGTTCTAAAGTGTGCCCCCTGGATCCCACATTTGTCCCGGAAAATTTCGAAAACTAGAAGCCCGGAAATGCCTTTTCCAGTGATCGGAAACAAGAATCCGGTTCTAAAGTGCACCCCCTGCATCCAGATAGGAGGGGGCGTGCACAAGGTGTGCCCCCCCCCCCCCCCACTATAGATCCATCTTTGGGTAATGATAACCTGAATGACAAATGTATCAGACTGAAAACCAAATGACGAATTACAAGAAATTTTGAAACAATAAGGTCTCCTTAGGCCAACATTTTTTAATTATTGCAATGAATAATTTTTGTTAGATAATGTATGGAGATTATACAGAATGGTCACCTCAAGTATATAGGAATGACAGAGACTCAATAGACGAAAAACAGGTTCACTAGATGAATGACAAAGATAATGACAGGAGCCCACTGGAAGAATACAAAAGGAATAACAGGTTCACCAGATGAATTACAAAGATAATGACAGAGGTTTACCGAACGAATGACAAAGGGAATGACAGACATTCATTAGATGAATGTCAAACATAATGATCAAGCCCCAGGGGAATGACAGACGTTTATTATTAGGTGAATAATAAAGAGAATGAAAAGGTTCATCTGGTGAATTACAGAGACTCATAAAAGGAATGACACATAATGGCATTTGCTTATCATTTGTCTAGTGAACCACTGTCATTATGTTTATTATTCATCTATTTAGCCTGTGTCATTCCTCTTCTGAGGCTTTTATCATTTTTATACGCCCACATGGAAATGTGGTCATATATTGCCGTCACCCCCGTCCGTCTGGCAGTCGGTCGGTCCTTCCGTCATCCAAAATTTCTTGTGAACACTCTACAGACTACATTTATCATCTGATTATCATCTCATTAGTGAGATGAAGAAGCCTATTTAATTTCAATAACTTCCGTTAATTTCTTCTGGAGTTATGGCCCTTGTTTCACTTTGTTGCACCTTGTGAACGCTCTAACGACAAAAGTTATCAACTGATCTGTATGAAATTTATATGCATCATTTAAATTAGTAAAGCAAAGAATCCTATTGAATTTCAGCAATTTCCGTTAATTACATCTAGAGTTATGTCCGTCCGTCGTCCACAATTTCCTGTAAACAATCTACAGACTACATTTATCATCTGATTATCATCTCATTAGTAAATTTATATGCATCATTTAAATTAGTAAAACGAAGAATCCTATTGAATTTCAGCAATTTCCGTTAATTACATCTAGAGTTATGGCCCTTGTTTCACTTTGTTGAATCTTGTGAACGCTCTAATGACAACAGTTATCATCCGATCTGTTTAAAATTTATATGCATCATTTAAATTAGAAGAAGCTTATTGAATTTCAGCAATTTCCGTGAGTTATGACCCTTGTTTCACTTTGTTGTACCTTGTGAATGCTCTGACGACAAGTTATTATCCGATCTGTATGAAATTTATATGTATGGTTTAAATTAGTAAAACGATCAAGCCTATTGAGTTTCAGCAAATTTCCATTAATTACATCTAGAGTAATGGCCCTTGTTTCACTTTGTTGAATCTTGTGAACGCTCTAATGACAACAGTTATCATCCGATCTGTTTAAAATTTATATGCATCATTAAATTAATGAAATGAAGAAGCCTGTTTAATTTCAGCAATTTCCGTTAATTACGCCGTGAGTTGTGGCCCTTGTTTCACTTTGTTGTACCTTGTGAATGCTCTGACGACAAAAGTTATTATCCGATCTATATGAAATTTATATGTATGGTTTAAATTACTAAAACGAACAAGCCTATTGAGTTTCAGCAAATTTCCGTTAATTACATCTAGAGTTATGGCCTTTGTTTTACTTTGTTGAATCTTGTGAACGCTCGAACGACAAAAGTTATCACCCAATCTGTATGAAATTCATATGCATCATTTAAATTAGTGAAAGGAAAAAGCCTACTTCTAGAGTTATGGCCCTTGTTTTACTTTGTTGAACCTTGTGAATGTTAGAACTACAAAAGTTATCATCTGATCTGTATGGAATTTATATGCATTATTTGAATTAGTAAAACGAACAAGCCTGTTGAATTTCAACAATTTCTGTTGATTGCTTCCAGTGTTATGGCCCTTATTTTAGTTTTTAGAACTTTGTGAACCCTCAAACGGCGAAAATAATAATGTCATCTGTATGAAATTGTCTATTAAATGCCATTAATTACCTACAAAACAATAAATATGCGACAACCCTTGTCGACTGCTCGGACGATTTAGCTGCTGTGGGCATATGTTTTGTTGCCTGGCAACCTATCTTTTTGTCAGTCGTCTGATGAACCACTGTCATGCTTTTTGTCATTTGTATGGTGAACCTCTGCCATTCTCCTTGCCATTCGTCTGGTTGACCCTTGTCATTCTCTTTGTCATTTGTCTGGTGAACCAATGTAATCATACTTGACTTTATTTTTATATGGGAAAATAACAAATAATATTAGTGTTACAAGAACACAGTTTCTAGATTGATTGAGATCTCCTCAATCTAAATTTCATTGGGCGAGGAGCGGAGATCTTGAGGTCGGTACTAATAATTCCATATTCATTGAATCTATTCCATGAAAAGATTTAATCGTGTTGTCCTAACTGGAGAATTTATTGTTTAGAAATTTCTTTTCATTCATCATTCGGTTGTCATTCGTCATTCAGGTTAGGGAGTCCCAGATACTTCCAATATCCAAGATGCTATTGTTTCAAGGCATGAGAATTCGACAGATGGTAGTAACGTATATGTTTTGACTAAAACTGTTATTTCCTAAAATACTGGTATTACTCTACCATTTCTTGCCTAGTGTATGTATGAAAGTTTAAATTCTTTCCATGTGGTGTTGATAACGATCAAATTTCCATATACTGTAGTTAGTATAGCAGGATTAACACAATAAATACATTACTGCATGTTTTAATATGACAGAAATAATTTTCAGGTGTAGTAACTATATTAGTCTTTAGTTTGTTAATTTTGTTATCATTTAAATTATTCACAGATTGTTCGATCTTTAAGAAGAAATGGAGAGAAAAATGTGGCAGATATTGAAAAATTAGAAGTAGATATGTTACATTTACTGAAAGTCAACCCTGTCTCAAAAAATACAAAGTATGATCATTTGTTTCTATAATCATCTTCTCAATATATGCAGGTTATGGAATTTAACAACCCAATTCAATGTGTATTTTTATTTAACTGGCAAGGAGAAGGTTCTCCTGTCTAACCATGTGGGTTTTCCCTGGGGCCTCTAGTTTCCTCTCATTGCTAAAGATCCCTATTTGCAAGAGAATTATTGAAATAAAATTGTATCGTATGTTCGTCCTGAAATGATCTAGTTTGTTATTTGTGGACGAAAATTGTATCTTATGTTCATCCTGAAATGATCTAGTTAGTTATTTATGGACGAAAATTTTGTTTTATATTCATCCCGAAATGATATAGTTTGTTATTTGTGGATGCTAGATTCTCCATCTCCCTATACTACACTACAAAAGCCTAACACTTGTTCAGAAAAACTGTTGTTACGCTCAAGGCATTGGTGAATTTAGGAATGATAAAACTTGTCAGATGTGGAGTAAATAGAGTCCAATAAAATATTTAAAAAAACAAAACAAAACAAATTCAAAAACATTTAATTTGAATTGGATTGGATATTTATAAACATTTATTTTCTTGTCTCTATATTATCTTATAGATCAGATTTACCTCAGTTTCTGTTACCAAGATCAAGATTGAAAGAAATTGGTTTTGTATTGGATAAAGATAGTATAGATTTTAAGGTACAATATTTATAGATTTATGTTTTAACAATATCTTATAGCTTGAATAAAAATGCACCCCCATACCTGGTTGAATCATTCACACTACAATGTCAGCAGCATGCCACAAGTCATGACAGCTCAGAGGAACATGGCGCTTGGAAGACTTGATGCTGGCCACACTGCCCAAGCCATTGCCAATCACTTCCAGGTCAATGTTCAGACCATCTACAGGCTTCAGCAGTGCTTTCGGGTCACCAACACCATGGATGATCACCGCCAAGCTGGTAGATCAAGGGTTACTACAAGGCGACTAGACCGCCATGTTGTGTGTCAGCACATGCAGAATCCCTTCACACAGGCATCTCAGACAGCACATCAGACAGTGAGAACACACAGAAGACCCATCAGTACCGATACAGTGCGCCGACGTCTCACCAGAGACTCACGGGGAGGTCCAAGCATAATGGTTTGGGGTGGAATCAGCCTGAACCAGAGAGTGGGTCCTGTGTTGTTCCAGGGAGAGGAGGCGGCATCACAGCAGTGTAGCAGTGTGCTACATCGATCAAGCTCTCGGACCCCACGCCATACCACATTTCTCACATCATCAAAACAACGTTTTCCAGCATGGAAACACCTGTGTCCACATTGCCAGAGTTACTCGGGTCTTTCTACAGCAGAACGGTGTCAGCGTTATGCACTGGCCAGCCCTTAGTCCGGACTTGAACCTGATTGAACATCATTGGGATGAAATTCAGAGGAAATTTAATAACGTTGTACCGAGACCAAACACAGCCGATGGATTGCGCCAGGCTTTTCTGAGAGTGTGGTTCCAGATGTCAATGGCGTTCATCAATCGTCTGGTCCACTGCTGTTATTGACACTCGCGGTGGATACACCAGATAATGATGTATAGACTGTGTACAGACTCTAAACCTTCTCGTAATGTCTTGGAATTGTGATGAATCAATCACTGATGTGGCAACATACTGTTCACAAAAAATTGCTTTGACCCATTTAGTAAGTCGGTTTCTAGAATGATTTGATTAAAGTGCCTGTCTGATTTTGAAATTCTACAGAGGTTTTTTTGCTGTTTAGCATATGTCAAAATGATCATCTATTTTCAGGATGATGTTATAGAAAATTGTTATGTTGACAAAAGCAACAAGCTTCAAATAAATATCAACAACGAATTCTTTATACAGGTAAAGATTTTGAATATAGGTATTTTTTTAAAAAATTCTAAATCTATTTAGTAGTACAGTATTTAATTTAAATTGTTTCAATGGCATTTAGTAATTGAACTGGAGTATACAGGTCACAATTCTATGGAATACAATTACTGCTTATTACTGAGCGATGTCAACATTGAGAAAGGATTACATCAACTTGCTCCAGGTGGTAAAGTCGATTATCTAAGGTACCAAATAATTGAAATACTAGCAAAGGCAAACACTAGACCCTCTAGAGGTCACAATTTTTATCCTATTTTGATCAAATATCTTTATATCCCAAACATCACAGTCCTTTTCGATATTTGCGCATTTCAGACCATAACTGTCTGGATTATAACCCCTGATTGTACGAAAAATCGCTTTTGTTTTTAGCTTGTCTATCCATCTCTTGCAAAATGTGGGCATATCTTGCCTGGCAACCTATGGTTAAATATCTTGTGGACGCTCTAGAGGCTAAAGTTAATATCTGATTGACTTAAGATTTATACACAGTGTTTAAGGTCAAGAGACGAAGAAGCCTATTGATTTTCAACAATTTTCAATAATTAGTGCTAGAATTATGGTACTTGATCACTTTGAAATATTTTGTGGATGCTCTACAAGCCAAAGTGATCATTCCATTGACTTTATATTGATACAAGGTCTTGAGACGAACAAGTATGTTGATTTTCAATGATTTTTGTTAACTTAAACAGCTAAATATTAAATATTTTGTATACTAAACATCAGCATGGGATAGAACTAGAAGCCAAACAAATTTTAATGATTTTCTGATCATTACTTAATGAGTTGTTACTCTTAATAAGATTTTAGTGTATTATAAATGTTTCCTTAAAGACAAAAGAAAAAATATGTGACAACTCTTATTGACTGCCCGGGCAACTTAGCTGCTGTGGGTGTATTTTTTGCCTCGGATTGAGGCCATTGTATTTTTCAGTGCATATGAAGATGAATTTTAGTTATTTTGAAAAAAATATATTTCAAATTATCTTTTTCCAATTGGGGCCCCTGGAACAAGTCTAGCGGTCCAAGGCCCAATCCACTCCTGAAAACAGATGAGTAGTAACTGTACACGTTTATCATTAGGACAAATTCCCCAGGACCAATAAGTGTTGGAGTTTGGCACAAATTTCTGGAGGAAATGACGTGGGCTAATATTTTGAGCGATTTTAAATTTTATTTCGTGATCAAATATCAAATCCATTTCCAGCAGGCCTGGATTAAGTGAAGTGCTAGCTGGGCTTCAGCCAGTGAGCCCCAATCTAAAAAAAAAAACAATTGATGATTTTATTTATTATGTTGTGCCAAATAAACCTATCTATCAACCATACTGACATACAAACTGCATTTATGTGTGTGATGGACAATGACCAAGACCCCATGGAAGCTTAATCCGGTCCTGATTTCTGCTGATGGCTTCCAGATTAGATTTCAGAGCCAGATCAATATTTCCATAATATTAAGAATCAATTAATCTGTCTTTGTTTCATTTATTATGCTAATGAATTTAGAAAATGAAAAAATAATATTTTGGAAATTGCAACACGGGTGACGGGAACATTTTTAGCTGTTAGCATATCCGAAGGCCAATACTCTAACCGTTACTACGAACCCTATTAGCATTTATTATGTGACCAGTAACTTCCTTGGCCAGTCCTAAAGTTAACTTTTTACACTGATGCCATAGCCGGTCTTCTCATTCATGGGGTTTTGTCAGTTTACTCTTAAGTGCTACTCCTCCCGCATTAGCTAACAGAATCAAATGAAACCCTTTATATGGAATATCAGTCCCGTTTTATGTACTCGTAGATCATTTAATTCTTGGTTGCTGCTAACTCTTTTCATGTTTAGATCTGCAGGACTTGAGCATGATCCCTCAACCAAGTGTCAATGTACGGTATGTCATGGCTCAGATATACGTCAAATCTATTCTAGCCTGTGCCACAGAACCAAACACTTCCTGCCCCCCTCTCCCCCCTCCCCCAGTGTGCCCTAAGTTTGGTCTGCCTACCCTCCTGTGGAGGTCCCAGCACCCCTCTGATTTTCTAACCAAATCAATTTGCACATTTTTTTTTCTGATCTATGTTCATTTGAAATATTGAAACTATTTTATATTAACTATTCCCAAAGTACATGATTTTATTTCCAGAAAGTATTGTCCACTGTACAGAGATTAGGAAAACGATATGGTTATGATGTTCTGCAATTTCCAAAAAAACATGTTGTTGTTGAATATAGGTATTAGATAACATTGAAATTCTCTTATAGGTATATTGTATTAACTGTAAATGACATTGAAATTCTGTTAGGGTATATTGAAATGCAAATACCTATGGAGTTTGTGATATGATAAACAGCCATGGACACTTGACATGCTTTGAGAGTATGTTCACAGATGTAGAACTTATCAGCAGACTGTGGAACCAGTACCAACAAACACACAATGTCGTTCAGGTCATCCTAGAGCCACTACACAAGCCCAGGATCGATACATTCGTACACAGGTCCTGCGAAATTGAGGACAATAGCCAATCAGCTTTCTGTAAACTTGTACCAAGTTACAGGAATTTGAGTTACACCCCAAACGATTAGAAATCGGCTACATGCAGCCCATTTGCATGGGCGACGACTGCTTGTTATGCCTCCATTAACTCACCAGCACATGGCAAACAGGTGTCAATGGTGAAGGCAGCATAGAAATTTGGGTAATCGTCGATAGGCGCATGTAATGTTCTCAGATAAGTCCAGCTTTACTCTGGATTTCACCGATAGGCGTGCTCGCGTTTGGAGGCGTATAAATGAGTGTCATGCTAACGTTAACGTCAGACAGCATGACAGATTCGGGCGTGGGTCTGTTATGGTGTTGGGAGGAATCACCATGACTGGCAGAACTGTTCAAGGAAGGGTCACTGGTGTGTACTACCATGACCACATCCTGGCACCTATGTTTCTGCCCTTTGCTCAATGTGCAGGTCGACATTTCATCTTTCAAGATGATAATGTCCGTGCCCACTGCGTTCGTGTCGTGAATGACTACCTCCAGCGTCACCATATTGTCCATATGCCTTGGCCAGCCATGAGTCCTGACCATTCCCCTATAGAGCATGTCTGGGACATGATCAGGAGATGTGTTCGTCGACGTCAACGTCAACCGACAACACTGCAAGAATTGGCCGTGGCACTGCAAGAGGAGTGGGTCGGATTGCCCCAAATTGTGATTGGACGGTTGATTAGGAGCATGCCGCAACGAATTTCTGAATGTCTGAGGATTGGTGGAGCAATTACTCATTATTAAGATAAAAATCAAAAACTTCCATTTTCACTTTTGACAGTGTATCTCTTTGCGAGTGAAATGGGCGCGTCAGATAAGCCACCCATATGAACTGTTTATGTTCATGTGTAGGCAATTGGCCTGTTATTAACATACACTGGTTATCTCTAATAAAAACAGCAGTGCATTTCCGCAGTTTTGTATTGTTTCTGAATATCCCCTACGTTTTTTGAAGAGTATATATTATTAAATTTAAAATAAGATAAAAAATATAAACAGCATATGTACAAGCATGGCGTTGTCTGTGCATATTACGAATTCAGCTATTAAATGAAATCTAATATCCACATGCACAGATAATGTTTATTGTCTTCAGCTTAGCTAGCCAAATGTCTGTCTGTCCGTCACACTTTTTGGGACACAATAACTTTCCTTCTTATTGAGCTAGAATGTTCAAACTTGGTGTGGGCGTTTATTATGTCAGTGCCTTGATGGAGTTCGAAGATGAGCATTTTCAGCTTAGGGTAAGCAGAGATAAGCAATTTGATTGATTGATGCTTTGGGACATGATAACTTTAGTTCTAATTAAGTGAGAGTTGGGACACTTGGTGTATAGTTCTATCACATCAATACCATGACTAAGTTCAATAATGAGCATTTTCCATTCAGGGTAAGCAGAGCGATAAGCAATTTGATTGGTCAAGACTTTGGAACACAATTATCTGCTTACAGTAAGCAGAGCTGAGCATTCTGATTGGTTGATGCTTTGCAGCACGCTAACTTTGGTTATAATTAAGTGAGAGTGAAGAAACTCTGAGTATAGGCTACATTCATTATATCATTACCTTGACTAAGTTCGGTAATGAGAATTTTCTTCTTAGTCTAAGGAGCGATAAGCAACTTTGGAACCTAACAACTCTGCTTTAGAGGTTGAATGTTTAAACTTGATGTAGATGTTCATTAGGTGTTGTCTTGACTGAGTTCCATGATAAACATTTCGAGCTAAAGCTAAGCTGAGCTAAGTAATTTCATTGGTCGATGCTTTGGGACAAGAAAACTTTGATTCTATCTGATAGAGAGTGATGAAACTTAGTGTATACCCGGTAGTTTCAGTTTGATTGCTTGATACTTTTGAAAATAATAAATGTGCGATTAATAAATGTGTCGTCTATTTATTTTGGGATTTCTGCGGGGGACATTAGCCTCACTGTTGGCTTGTTTCAACTTGAAGTCCTTCTCACAGACTCTGAAAGCATTTGGCTCCAAACACAAACAGAAAAAAATTCATTTTGATGCCTTTTGATAAACTGAAAATTAAAAAATATGCAAGAATCTAAACAGCCAATCCTCTGCAGAACAAAAGTATTATAATAACAGATTATTTGGATAATAACATTGCAACTAAGTAGAATGTGATGAATTTCATGCATCAAATTACATTGTACCTATCTATCTTTTACATCTTTGTTTTACAGTTCACCCAATATAGCTAAACCATTTCATGTAGGGCATCTACATTCTACAATCTTGGGAAATTTTATATGTAATTTATATGAAGCTTTGGGTCATAAAGTAACCAGATTAAATTACCTTGGAGATTGGGGAACACAGCTCAGTGAGTAATCAAAACAATCTAAAATATTTAGATTTAACTTTGATAAATGCTTTATGTATACCTATATCTCTGAAAACATTCCAATGACTGTGATACCATTCTAAATCACCCATGTCTGTGATACCATTCTAAATTAGAGAAAGAACATTTATTTGAGTTCATAGTCATAAAATAGAGGTTTTGATGTAATTGTATAAATTGTATTATTATTTACTACAGCTAAAGTTATTTAATAATACTAGCACACATGATTTTAGTGAATTTCTTAATTTTCATTTCTAAACAATGCTTGAACTTTTATTTCTAGGTTTATTGATATTAGGTTATAAAAGGTATGGAGATGATGTGCAGTTAAACAAGGATCCACTTCAACATCTTTTTGAGGTATATTTAAAATTATGAATGAAGTTAAAGATACATTATGGGAGATTAGATAAAGAGCTGGCAGTTCTCACTATAATAGTTAAAAACTAGATAAGGTAAAGGGAATTTGCTGAAAATTTCAGGCAAATTGATCCTCTCTGAATCAAGATTTTAGCAATTGAATTTTCGGCCTAGTCGCGATCATCATTACTAAAGTCGGTACGATAAAAAACATAGTCTCAGTTATCTATTTCATGATTAAATCATGAATAGAAGTCTCAATTATCTATTTCATGATTAAATCATGAATAGAAGTCGAACAGCAAATCGGAACCTAATCCAATAAACATCGCAGGCTAGCGATAAGTTAATTAATGTCTAATTAATAATTTAGATAACATTTCAGGCCTAAAGAAAGACCTGCAATAGACAGATTTAGCTCTTGCATAATGTATGTTTAAGGCACAACATACAACATTTTCCTCTTACAACACTTAATGGCATATGCCCATATTCATTAGCCAGGTGGTTACTGGAAAGTAGGATGCTAAACCACAATTCATTTTATTTTATTTTACATGTTGGGGCTTTAAAAGATAGCTTAAAATAAGTTCTTGTTGGTACTATTCTGATCTGCATGTGTATGATTTCCATTGGATCTTTTAAAGTTTTCATTTTGCCTTTTGACAGGTTTATGTTAAAATTCATGAAGATGTTGACCAAGAGAAAGATTCAACGAAACGTACAGGCAGGGGTTCATATCATGAGGGGTTAGAATTATTCCACAAATTAGAATCAGGTAATTTGTATTCAAATTAAACCAGATTTCAATTTTAAACTAGACTAAATATAGCTCCAGATGACATGTTTGGTTAAAATAAATTTTAGATATTTTCAGCATATTTGTTTAAATGTCTTCAGTATGTTTGGATAAACTAGACTACAGTTATTTTTGCCTGCGTTAAGTTAGACTAAAATTGACTCTACACGATTTTCTTATTCATTCATTTCAGTACATTAACAATATTCATTCCTTGCTATACATTAACAAGATATACACATTACACACATACATAGTGAATAAAAACACATAATACAAATTTTTTAACTTATTCTTTGTCATTTGATCAATATTTTATCTTGATAATGATAATATTAATTTAACGAAATCAATTGATATTGAAAAATAAATGAACAAATAATTAGAATATATTGATTTTAAAGGTTTCTGTAGATCTGAAAATATATTAAAATCAAGTCCAAAAATTAACTATTGAAATAGCATTTATATAACATCTTCTTGCTCAAGTCTTTCTTTGAAGGTTGTATGTGACAGGGAGTAGCGTCGCCTGTCCAACACTCGTAGGTTTTCTCTGGGTCCTCCGGTTTCCTCCCACTGCTAAAGACCCCTACGCGCAAGCGAATTATTGAAATAAAATTAACTAGGTATTAGTACCGAAATGACCTAGTTTGTGTCGAGTGGACATTAAACCCCATTTCTCTATCTCTTTCTTAGAATCATCAAAACAGCTTTTTGTTGGACTGAATGACACATTCCATGTCAAATTACCATTAGTTAAAAAAAAAAGCTTTAACAACCAATCAAGGAAATGTAGGAAAACCCCATCTGAAGCAATCTACTTGATTGACAGGCGTACTAATCAGGCACAAAAAATCTTATACACTGATGTTACATCAGTGTTAAGTGTCAATTTATCAATCAAAACACTGCAATGAGTATGTTTGATTAAAAGAGAATACTACCACAAAAAGTTGCATTAATATGAAAAATAACGTTAATATTAGAACATTTTTAGCCCTGCCAAATTTTGAAAATCATTCTGAATATTTTTACAAAGGAAAAATATACCAAAAAAATCTGAAATTGACATTTATGCAGCCTCAATTTGATTTTCTCCCTGAGTGACTTCAGAGACGACAGACGTTGTGAATTTCCCTATAGAAGGCTATTGCAACTGAGCACTACATCCCGTCATTTTGACTAACTAGAAGCATAACATGGTCAATTGCGTTGCTTGGGGATGTACTAATAGCATAAACAATAAATCAGGAAGCATGTGTCATTTTTTTTTAATTTCCAAGCGAGGCAACACACACTTAAGGTCTGGACACAGCGATGTCAACAAGGCGAAAAAGGCTGGTCACCATCAACACATGCTTCTCTTCTCATTCGATTTACTGTTTACGAACGTGATTTTAATAATATATTATGTCGATCAAGATATAGCAGTCAACGAGGCGAAAAGGGCTGGTCGCCATCAACACATGCTTCTCTTCTCATTCAATTTATCTGCCTACGAACGTGATTTTAATAATATATTATGTCGATCAAGATATAGCAGTTATGTTATCTTTCTATGTTAAAACTGTGCATAGTTCTATGGTGAAACTGACACGCTTTCAAAATCTAGCAATAGAAATGACTGAAGCAACCATAGCAACGAAATGTAAACAACACAGCTAGGTAGCCTAAATACTAATGTAAATCAATTAATATCGCCTTTTCAAAGTGTGTAGGCCTATGTCGATGATTTTGCAGATGTAGGAAGTCCGTCAGATTTAACTAGGTAAATGAGTGTAGGCCTAATAGAAATTGTTTTCAGCAATGCCGATACTATAGGCCTATATACGACGTGACCCTCGTTTTTCAATTGTTGCACAAAGAAAGTAGGCTAGGGCATATAATACCGTATTACCCTATGGCTAGGGTAAACTTGTTGGAATTAATAGTTTTTCTCTGATATGTTTTCACCGATGAGGCGTGAACATCATTAAATGAAGTGAAAAGTTATCGAGAATCAAAGGACTGTGATAAGACAAGGTACTCTAAGTTTGACCTAATGCGAACACAGCCTGCAGCGATTGTTCTTCTTCGCTAGAAATGGTAGAATGTTCCCAACCATCATCGTCACGACGTCACGGTTGTTGCTCGCATTTCGAATTGGCTCATACTGATAGGGAAGAACATTCAGGGCGAAATCAATGTCTGACAAGTTGTCACTTTCTGCTGATGCCATATTGAAATATACATCGACTGCTACACAAGTGTCACCTCTTAGGTCATGTCACGAGATTTAGCTTCAGCTCATTAATTGTCAGGTGTTTCCGTAATTTGGGAAATCCGAAAGTGTTTTATAACGTTATTTGTTACTAAAACTTTTTTTTTTTAAAAATAATTCTGAAATGCGTTACACAATGAACTAAGTAAATGATAACATTAAACTTTTACTATAGCATTCTCCTTTAAGAGATTATTTTTTGTATAGGTAAATTGATATTTGATATTAGATGTAACAACTTAAATATGAATTATATTGTGTTGGGTGCTTTTGATGCGGACTGTACAGTAGTATCTTTTTATGTGCATTCATAAACATCTTTGACTAATAAACTTAGTATGACATTTCGACAAGTTAATGAAAATTTCTTTAGGTCATCTTGAAATACGACACATAAATATATGTTTTTAAATTATATTAGGAGATGAAGAAATCACAACATTATGGAAGAAGTTTAGTGAGATAAGTCTAGAAGAATATGATAAGATGTATAAGGTATATTGACAAGAATTGATTTATATTTCAGAAGTGAAACCATATAAGACCCTTTTGTGAAAATCGGACCAAAACTTCCCGTCAAAATGAACGCTTCCCGTTACGCAAATAGTGTTAATGTGTGTAATACCAAGGTTGTGGAGCCTCTATAGGTCACAATTTTTATCTGATTTTGATAAAACTTAAAATGATATGTTTTTATCTGAAAGATCTTAGTTCCTTTCGGTATTCCCGCATATCAGACTAATTTCCTGGATTATGGCACCTTATTGTACGAAAATCGCTTTTTTAGTGGGAATCTTGCATGGCAACCGCTTATTTAACGTATTTGCAACACTTTTGTTAAAAATGTGGATTTACCCAGGACTCAAAAAAAATGAATTATAAATCCAACAGTTTTTTCACATGTTTTACAAGACTATTCTAAAAGAGTGACATGAAGACAAACACTAGCAACTCTCAGTTTCAAAATTGAGGGGTATTATTCTGAAATAGACCATAAGATTATCAGCACCGCAGATCATTTCGGGTAAACATTATTTGAAGACTATAGTAAATTGGCCAATTTTATTTGGTTTTACCGTCCATAGTATCAACAAAATGTCATTATAAATGTGTATACTTCTACAATGATTTTCTATTGTTTGCACTCCAGCCCTCCCCTACCCCTCAAAGTAGCAATCAATGCCCTTGTCAATAAGACGTTCATTTATTATGTATAAATGATATTGATTTATTCATTATATATACAAGAGTTAGCTTGTTTATTTGTTTGCTTTTGGAAACTCAACAGTCGACTTCATATATTATAAGATAACTTCATAATAACCAGTGTTTATTTAAAGATACTTTATCGGGTGGTTATTTCCAATAAAGTATGGCAATTGTGGTATATTTGGAAAGTGGAAACATTCAATCTTACTAGAAAAATAGTGGATTCCCTGAAAAACATCCATGGAGTGCATACAGGACAAAATGTCAGGGTTTCCCTAACTGGCAACCCGACAGTTAGGGATGTCTGCTCGAGTGACGTCAAAGGTTGTACGTGAAGATTGTCTGATGTATATGTTGATAAACTTGATGGTAAGCTTAGCGTACAACAGTTACTGAGATAAAAACCAAGGAAAAAGACGTGGGGAGTGGATAATCTGAGAATTTAATTAGGCTTCGATATTTATGATAAATGGACAGTGATTAAAGACAACATTGTCTTGTATATGCAAAGAATTCTCCTCCGGCTTCACACCTGCTGCTAGCTACGTCGTCAACCAAGTTGACATGACACAAACATGACCTCTTTTGATAGATTTTTTGTAGCAGGGGTATTTCTGTGCGAATACAACATTTTGAGAAGGATTTGAAGCAAAATTTTGATAGATAAATCAATTTAAATATGTTTTTAGTCCAAATATATCATCAAATTACCTGGTTTGTACACAGGAAGGTATCTTTAAAGAAAAATAGTGCTATTTATTTTGTATTTGGTGGAGTAGTTAATGATGAAATTGACAATTAAAAATTATTGTGGTATGATGGACGTACCAAAAATGGAGATAACTCGACCTGTGCATTACTTACATAAACACAGCTAGTATTATATATTTTCAGAGACTAAATATTAGATTTGATGAAATACATACTGAATCAATGTATAACCAATCTACACAACAATTAATTCAATCACTAAAACAATCAGGTCTTATACAAACCAGGTAAATATTACCGGTACATTCATATGGATTTTAGTTGGTTTATTAAGGCATGCAAAATAGACATTCTCAATTTTCAGCAACATGCTAATGATTTGCTGCTGTAGATGTATATTTTAAGGGTTGAAATAAGACAGAAAACATTTGAAGTTTTTTCATTTCAACTGCTTTACGATTATATATGAAGAGCTCTTTTTCAAACCTCCGTTTGTTCATAAAAGAATTGAAATGTTGTATGTTAATTACCACCGTCCCCGTTCTTCAATGAGTTTCTTGTAAACACTCTACTAACTACTTTTATCATCTGATCTTCTTAATATTTATGCTGTTTACATTAGTGAGAAGAGGAGGCCTCTTGAATTTTTGAGATTTCTTGCTCTTGAGCACTTTATAGAATCTTGTAATCGCTTTAACAACGAAAGTTATCACCATTGCTTCTAGAGTTATGGCCGTGCTTCACTATATGCATTGTTGAAATAGTCAAACGATAAAGCATGCTAAACTTCAAGATTTAACGTTAATTACTTCTGGAGTTTTTGCCCTTGTGCACTTTGTAAAATGTGGCATATACAGTGTTTTGGAAAAAACGCTCATCATATTTGATTTTACTGTGTGATATATAATGTTATTTTAAATATGAAATATTCAAGGGGCCAATTGATATTTGATTTTACTGTGTGATATATAATGTTATTTTAAATATAAAATATGTCAAGGGGCCAGTTGATATTTGATTTTACTATGTGATATATACCGGTAATGTTATTTATATATAAAATATGTCAAGGGGCCAATTGATATTTGATTTTACCATGTGATATATATTGTTGTTTTAAATATAGAATATGTCAAGGGGTCTATTGAATACTTTGGTAAGTTTTGTTAAACCTATAAGATTTTAAGATAAAAATATACTAGTAGAAGCTTGATTTGGTGTACATTTGAATATATTAAATGAAAATGATTTATTGTATTACAGAAAGGATGGTGTAGGATATATTGATATAAGTAATGATAAAGACTCTGTACAAGCTGTTATGAATAAAAGTGATGGATCTACTTTATACTTATCTAGGTATAATCTTATTTAATTATCCAGTACTCAAGCTGGGTTCATGCAATAGATGTCCCTATTAGGATACCTAATTGAGTGATAATTGACTGAGCAGATGTAAAATAAAATCTGATAAAAAAAAACAAAGCATAAAAGTATTGCTACAAGGAAAAAGTTATTGCCAAAAATTTCTCCTAAATTATTGTTTTACCGCATTAAATCATCTTCTGCACATGTGTAAAATCGGATTTAAAATGAATGAAGGCCAGTGTTTCACCCATGTCAACCAAGCTTAACAATGGCACAGATGTTTTATTTTGCCTCCATCTTAAATAAAGTCTAAGAACAGATTCTAGAAATAATAAAATGTCATTCAATATATTTTACATTCTTTATTCTGGTGAACTACAATGGGTTACTGTGATTGGCTAAAAACATGATACCAAGAATCCTTAAGTCTTTGAAATTGTTTCTAATTGCATCGCATTGAATGTCTGCGGTTTTCATATGGCGTGTAAATGAAGTGTTCATTGGAAAAATGTGTTAAAGTCTAGCAAATATACCAAGAGAGTTTGTTTGAATCCAGTGACAAAAAACCACTCTCATTGTGAAACAGCTGAGCAAGTTACGTTTGAGATTTCCTTTAGCATGGTAAAAAAAATCAGCAATATTATTCTTATAAAAGTATTTTATTTTTTCCTTTGAAGAGATATTGCAGCAGCTTTGGATAGATTTAAAAGATTCAAATTTGATCAAATTCATTATGTAGTAAGTACCATACTGTAGTCAATTTCAATTATTTTAAAATGGCAATGAAAGTAAAGAGATCTATGCATATTTCCTTTTTTACTGATATCATGTGAATATTATATTGCATAAAAGTGTTCATATTTTACATGAAATAAAATGTGGTTTAAGATCCTACTTTTCTGATCCCTCTGGGATAATGAAGACAGGCATACGCTACAAGGGACATTTTGCCCGTAAAGCAGTGCTACGATCTAGCCTTAATTCAAAATCCAACTTTCAGACGTTCTTTTAGATTCACAGCAATGTGTACAAATGACCTTAGTTTTTCATCCCATCTGAATGACTAGAGGCTGTTCCTTGCCAGACCCTCCATCTTGAACCACGAGAGACCATGCCAGAAAATCCTGACAAACTTTCTCAGCCAACACCGAGATCAAACCTGGGACCTCCAGCTTAGCGAGCCAGCGCATTACTCACTAAGCCACAGTGGGTTAGTATAGGAGAATTTTGATTTTTATAATAAGTTCTGTGTATATGAGTAAATCCCCATCCAATATTGATTACAGGTTGGAAATGATCAATACTTGCATTTTAAGACACTTCTTGAAGTATTAAAAAAAATTCAGCCAGCAATATGGAATTCTGTGTAAGTAAAAACATTTAATTTAATGTTGAATTTTATATACCGGTAAATGTTCTATTAGAATTTTATCTAGTAGGAGGACAGCACTACAGATAATAATCAACTAGAAACCCAGAAGACAGAACAAAAAAATGAATATTGTAAGCACTATCCAATTAGTTGTATGGGTTGGGGTTGGGAGCATGGCTTCCACATCGGCCGTATATGCCGGTCAAGACCTAGGACTATGGAAAATGCCCGTAACAATCGACCTCTACTATGTAACTATACAATTGTACGGCCAGTACAGAATAATGCACACGTATAGAAGCCACATAGTCTTGTGATTGGTGTTATAGAGTTGTATACATATATATAGTTGTCAACAGATTATACTGAGTGTTGTGTTGATAATTAATAATGCGTGTTGGTAGTAGAACAATAAAAGAAATAATATGTGGGAATCTAATCAATGGCGTGAAGCGGTTCATTGTTAATCATTCACGTATTGTCCACGTGTCATAAGAATTTTCTACAACCAAACCCGTTTACCACTATTACGGTCACGCACGATGTAAACGAGGTTATTATGATCTTCAAAAAAGGGCAATTGATATGAAGTACTGCTCTTCGAATCCAACCGTCATATCAAATAAAAACAGCATAGAAATTACGTAAATCCTCAACAACGTATGTGTTGGGAGAAAAATGCATTTATAATTTTTTTATAGTGGTATTATGGCCTTGTGGGAATTGTAGAAATAACATCTAGAGATTAGTTAATATGCTTACTGAAAAATTAAGAAAATTACGTATTCCAGTTCTATTGTGCTGCAATATTGATAATTCCATGTGTAGCAAAAATGTCGTGTAGATACAGTTACTCTCATACACGACGATATTCTAGTGGGCACTATTGTCGCTAGCTGTGAAGTTGTTATCCATTAGTCATTTAGTTATAAATTGTTAGGATTTACGTCACAATTCTGCGGTCCGTAATTCCGTAAGAGATGGTCTAAAACCAATAAATGTGAGATATATGCCGTGGATAATTATATATTTATCTTCATTTCAAAGTTATTGTATTACAACTCAAAATTATCCAGGTCAGTGTGTTTTCTATAGAGCGCGTAGTAATTACGTGTAAGCTATTGAAATGCTTTTTCTACGACCAATTCAGCTATTTTGATTATTTAAGTAGCCAAAACGGAATATTTAATTAATAAATAATTATCATAAGCCTTACTAATATTTCATTTTTAAGTCCAATATATATTTTTTTGTGTACCTCATGCTGACAAAGTGGTATAGACAATTAATTGACAATACCCTACCATGAATAAAAAACATGAAATATGATTTTACTTTGAAAAGTTTTCGTGGGTTATCAAAAATGACCGGCAGTGAAAATTTTGAAGTGGAAGCCCTGGTTGGGAGTATTAACGTTCATTATGCTGAAATGACACAAGCTGCACCTCAGTTGTAAGAAATGAAAACAAATGTAAATCATTGTGTTATATCTAACTTACTGACATTGTGTTATAAATGACAGACATTGTGTTTTTTGAATGACTGACATTGTCTGATAAAAGAATGACATTGTCTGATAAAAGAATGACATTGTTTATAAATGAATGACACTAACTTTGTGTTATACATGTATATGACTGACATTGGAATTGAATTTTACCTGTAATAATTAAATAATGGTTTGGTTTGTATATATTTTACAGTGATTTATCTGAGTTTTTAATTAAATTTGGTCGTGTAGATGGTATAAGTACAAGAAAAGGAAATGTTGTATTTTTAAGAGATATATTGGATGAAGCTAGAGATAGAGTTGTACAATCTTTAAAATATAATGAATGTAAGTACTCTTTATACGCCAACATTTTCATGTGGACGTATATTAGATTAGCTACCTACCCCTAGACTCATTAAATCAGCAGGGCCCATATACCTAAGCCAAGTAGTGGATTATTGTTAATCCTTATACTCTCTACAGAATTGCGAATAACTAAAATATATTTTCTATACAAAGAAATACTCTGTTACAAAAATGTACAGAATGTTGTGTTCTTTTAAATGATATAAAATTCAGTTTGTACAAAGTAACAATTATATTACTATAAATAATATTGAAAAGTCAGTTCCAATAAAATTATGACTTTTCTCTGTCAAAATGGTAAAATAACGTGAACATTTATCTCCTAAGAATTTTTTTAAAAATAGAACAGTGTTCAAAGTAAATATAAATATAACTTTTAAAAAGAAATATCGCCCCAATGACCGTCACTTCATCGCTATCGGCATTCCTTTGGATATATGGAGGAAATTGTCATCTTCTTTGCTTCATTGCGTCAAAATAATTTGTGTTTTTAATGTGTAAGACTTTGGATGATATTGAGTTAGAGACTTAGCTACTTTAACTGAAACCTTCAGTCCATTTGCGTGTTTCCGGGTCATGGTAACCGATGCGTAACCTGAACGACCGTTCGTGTGTTATTTCATACCTTGCTACAGGTCACAATTTTTATACGTCCACGTTACGTATATTGTCGTCGCCCCTGCCCATTGTTTGTGGACACTCTACAGGTCACAATTCTTATCCGATTTTGACGAAACTTAAAATATAGGTTTATCTCCAAAAGATCTCGGTTGCTTTCAATATTGACATGTATCGAACCAAAACTTCATGGATTATGGCCCCTGATTATATGAAAAATCACGTTTTTAGCTTGTGGACCCTATAGAGGTCACAATGTAAGTTTATAACCCAAAGATCTCGGACTGTATGTCCGATGATTGTACGAAAGATCGTGTTTTTAGCTTGTGGATCCTACAGAGGTCATAATTTTTATGCCATTTAAAAAAACGTTTGAATATATCACTGTTGCACCCTAAGGATGGTTGAGTTCGAATTTAGTAAAAATCGGATCAAAACTGAAAGGCAAAATGGCCGCCCATCGTGATCAAATAGCGTAAAATATGGTATATCAAGGTTGTGGACTCTCTAGAGGTCACAATTTTCTTCTGATTTTGATGAAACTTGAAATGTAAGTTTATAATGTCTTCCTGAATTATGGCCCCAGATTGTACAGAAAATTGTGTTTTTAGCTTGTGGGCCCTATAGCGGTCATAATTTTTATGCCATTTAAAACAACGTTTGAATATATCACCGTTGCACCCTAAGGATGGTTGAGTTCGAATTTCGTAAAAATCGGACTATAACTGACAGACAAAAAGGCCACCCCTCGTACTCAAATAGCGTAAAAATATGGTATATCAATGTTGTGGACCCTCTAGAGATCACAATTTTCTTCTGATTTTGATGAAACTTGAAATGTAAGTTTATAACTTGAGGTCCCTCTAGATGTCACAATTATTATCTGATTTAAAAAACATTCAAATATATCACTGTTACACCGTGATTTCGTGAAAATCGGATCAAAACTGCCGGACAAAATGGACACCCCTCGTACACAATTAGCGTAAACATCTAGTATATAAAAGTTGTGGACCCACCGGAGGTTACAATTTTGATCTGATTTTGATGAAACTTGAAATGCATGTTTATAACCCAAAGATCTTGGTTTCTTTCGACATTCGCACATATCGGATCATAACTTGATTGTATGAATAATCACGATTTTAGCTTGTGGTACCTCTAGACGTCAGAATTTTTATCCAATTTAAGAAAACATTTGAATATATTACTGATACACAATAATGATGGTTGAGTACAAATTTCGTGAAAATCGGACCAAAACTGTCAGACAAAATGGCCGCCCCTCATACGCAGATAGTCTAAATATATGGTATATCAAGGTTGTGGATCCTCAAGAAGTCACAATTTTGAGCCGATTAATCAATCTTGACATATATCTTTATAACCCAAAGATCTTGTTTCCTTTCGATATTCGCGCATATCGCATCGTAACTTCCTGAATTATGGCCCATGATTGTACAAAAAATCACGTTTTTAGCTTGTGGTCCCTCTAGAGGTCACAATTTTTATCTGATTTAAAAAACTGTTTTAGTATATACACCCTAATGATAGTTGAGTTCGAATTTCGTGAAAATTGGACCAAAACGGCAGGACAAAATGGCCGCCCATTATACGCAAATAGTGTAAAATGGTATATCAAGGTTGTGGACCCTATAAAGGTCACAATTTTCATCCGATTTTGATGAAACTTGGAATGCATGTTTATATCACAAAGATCTTGGTTCCTATTGATATTCGCTCATATCGGATTGTAACTTCCTGAATTATGGTCCCTGATTGTATGAAAAATCACGCTTTTAGCTTGTGGTCCCTCTAGAGGTCACAAACTGACAAACATAATGGCCACCCCTTGTACGCAAATAGTGTAAAAATATGGTATATCAAGGTTGTGGACCCTCTAGAGACCACAGTTTTTATCCGATTTGGATGAAACTTTAAATATATGTTTTTATCATAAAGATCTTGGTTCCTTTTGATAATCACTCATATCCGAACGTAACTTCCTGGATTACAGCCCCTGATTGGTCGAAAAATCGCATTTTTAGCTTGTGGATTCTCTAGAGGTCACAATTTTTTTTTCCAATTTCAAGAACACGTTTAGATATATCAGCATTCCACCATAATGAAGGTTGAATTGGAATTTCGGGAAAATCGAAATGAAAGTGCCCGTATGTAATACAAAGGTTATGGACCCTCTAGTGGTCACAATTTTTATCCATTTTGATGAAACTTAAAACATATCTTTATATTCCAAAAATCTCAGTCCCTTTTGATATTTGCGCATTTCAGACCAAAACTTTCTGGATTATGGCCCCTGATTGTACAAAAAATCATTTTTGTTTTAGCTTGTTCTCTATCCATCTCTTGCAAAATGTGGGCGTATTCTGCCTGGCAGCCGCTGGTTAATCTGTCAGATTGTTCATTAGAGTATAAGGAAGAATCCTATTGAAATTCAAATTATTAGAACTTAAGATTTGAAATGCATTTGGCCAAGTTATATTTTCAATCCCATTTTGACTGTTAAAGTTACAATTTCATATTTTTAAGTTATATTTTCAAAATTTATTAAAATAAAGCCTTAAAATAGATGGTATCTATAAACAGTCCTACCTTGTTAAAGAATATTCCTATTAATCCTATAATTCACTATTGCCAGTTGAGAAATTGGCAAAAATATCATTTTCAACTTCAAATTCAAACGTTTGAAAATAGCTATTCCATGGGGGGAATAGGAAAACAAGGGAGGTGATTGTGTTATTATTTCCTGTGTCAATGAATTTTAAATGTTGGAAATAATGCCTATGATTGTATAATAGTGAGTTTATAACCTATTGAACAAAAGACATAGAAATAATTATGTTTTGACTTTCTTAGAAAATATGAAATTCTCGCTTTAAAGCTTATAAATACAATACAGAAAAAGCTCTCGGAGGAATTTATTAAAACTTGGTGGGATTGTTTACAGGAGGACTGGCTCACTAACCAGGACGTCTCTAGGATTTTCCAACAGGATTACTCTTTGTCACTTATGCTGGACAGAGGGCCTGGGATAGATCAACATCTAATTGTTCTGATGGGACAAAGAACTGAGGGCCTGGGATAGATCAGCATCTAATTGTTCTGATGGGACAAAGAACTGAGGTCCTGTGTACACATTGGCATGCTCGTTAAAGAATCTTGACAGTTTGAATTTGATAAACAGTCGAGGGAAGCATTGCTGTTCAGACAAAATGTCGCTCATAACATATTGCATGGCATATTCCCATATTCATAAGCCCATTTGACACTTTGTTGCTGCTGGGCATAAAGGAGCCTGACAATTACCAATCTTTGTTGTATGATAATTTTAATTAGCAGGTTTATTTACACAAAGAAGTTAATTTCAGAATATTTTTGTGCAGTATTTATTCACTTTATCGTTCTTTTCATAAATCCCGTAAAAACCTACATAAATTTATTATGTATATTCACAGTTACAAAGATAACCAGTGATTATGAATATGTAGCAGATAAACTAGGTATATCATCTATTATAATACAGTATTTACGGAGTAGAAGAACTTCCCATTCCACCTTTAATTGGGAAAAAATGTTACACTTTAAAGCTGATTCTGGTCTCTTTCTACAGTACTGTCATGCCAGACTATACAGGTAGAGTAATATTTTTATACGCCCACATTTTCGTATGGACGTATATTGTCGTCGCCCATGTCCGTCCGTCCACAATTTGTTTGTGCACACTCTACAGGTCACAATTTTTATTCGATTTTGTTGAAACTTAAAATATAGGTCTATCTCCTATAGATCTCGGTTCCTTTCGATATTATTGGCATATATCGGACCATAACTTCATGGATTATGAAATGAAATGAAATGAAATGGGGTTTAACGATCTACTGTTCTGATCCTATACTCAGCTAATGAAGACGGGCATACGCCATACAGTGTGCTATGAGGGAAATTTTGCTGGGCAGCGGCACTAACGCCTACTCTTATATCGAATTCCAACTGCCAGGGGATCTTTTACGTGCATTCTAATATATACAGCTGTCCTTGTCAGGCCCTCCGTCCTGCATCACTGACAAGGGGGAACCACGCCGGAAAATCTGGATGCACTTTCTCGGCCAATGCAGGGATCGAACACCCGACCGCTAGACTAGCGAGCCAGCGTCTTACCCACTTAGCCACTCATGGATTATATCCCTGATTGTACGAAAAATTACATTTTTAGCTTGTGGACACACTGAAGGTCACAATTTTCATCTGATTTTGATGAAACTTGAAATGTATGTTTATAACCCAAACATCTTGGTTCCTGTCGATATTTGCGCATATCCGATCGTAACTTCCTGAATTATGGCCCTTGAATGTATGAAAAATCGCGACTTTAGCTTGTCGTCCCTGTAGAGTTGACAATTTTTATCTGATTTAAAAAAACGTTTGAATATATCACTGTTACACCCTAATGATGGTTGAGTTTGAATGTCGTGAAAATTGTACCAAAACTGTCAGGCAATATGGCCGCCCCTCGCACTCAAATAGTGTAAAGGTCACAATTTTCATCCCATTTCGAAGAAACTTAAAAATGTATGTTTATAACCTACAGATCTTGGTATTCGCTCATATCGGATCTGATCATTACTTCCTGAATTATGGCCCCTGATTGTACGACAAATCCATTTTCAGATTGTGGTTCCTCTAAAGGTCACAAATTTTATCCGATTTAAAAAAACGTTGGACTATATCACCACCATACCTAAAAGTCGGTTGAGTTCGAAACTGCCTGGGGGATCACGATGGCTAAGTGGGTAAGGCGCTGGCTCGCTATCCTGGAGGTCGGGTGTTCGATCCCTGCATTGGCCGAGAAAGTCCATCCAGATTTTCCGGCGTGGTTCCCCCTTGTCAGTGATGCAGGACGGAGGGCCTGGCAAGGACGGCTGTCTAGTCATTCGGATGAGACGAAAAACCGAGGTCCCGTGTACACATTGGCGTGCACGTAAAAGTTCCCTTGACAGTTGGAATTCGATATAAGAGTAGGCCGTAGTGCCGCTGTCCGGGCTAGAAGTCACGATTTGTATTCAATTTTAAAAAATGTTTAAATGTATCTCCGTTACACATCAATGAAGGTTGACTTTGAATTTTGTACAAATCTGACCGAAATTGCCAAACTAAATGGCCACTTCTTGTATGCAAATAGAGTAAAAATATGTAATACCTTGTGGACCATCTAGAAGTCACAGTTTTTATCCGATTTTGATGAAACTTGAAATATATGTGTGTAAATGTATGGTTGCTTTCGATATTGTGGCCCCTGATTGTACAAAAATTCATATTGTTTAGCTTGTGGATCCTCTAGACGTCACAATTTTTATCTGGTTTTAAAAACCGTTTAAATATATCACAGTTTCACCATAATGAAGGTGGAGTTTGAATCTCTTGAAAATCATAACGAAACTGCCCAAGAAAATGGCCGCTCCTTGTACGCAAATTGTTTAAAAGTAGTGGCCGTATCTTGCATGGCAACCCGTTGGTTATTAATATATTGCATTTAAATAAATTATTAGTTTAACCCTTTGGCGAATTATTTAACTTTGTTATTTTTTGCATCCTATATTAGTTGACATGTAGCTCAAAAGATAAATAAAAAATCACCAAGTTCATTGGATGTAAAAATATTGATAATCTAAATTAGGCCTGCAGCCAAAATTTCTAGTGTGAAGTTCCGCTAGAAATTTTTGCTGCAGGCCAATTACCTGATGATTAAAATAACACAAGATTCGCAAAATTGCAGTGGTAGCATGTATTTTTTTGTATGTTTTTGTAATTAGATTACCTTTGTTATTAACATATTTTCATCTAGTGATCTTTTTATTTCATGCATTCGTGTTTTTACCATTTGTTTATTGTATAGTGCTTTTTTGTACTGTTTGATGAAATGGTGCTATATAAAAACTAGTATATAGTTATCAGGACTGTATTACAAAACAATAATATTGAATAATGAATCAATAGATTATATTAAATCTATCATCTCATATTGATATTGTGTAGAATTCTGTAAGCCCATTGTATTTCTCATGCTAAGTGTTTTTTTATCAGAATTCTGATTTCAATAACCACATAAATAGCATTAGATTTCATTCATCTTTTATTCCATTTGCTTGCAGCAGAATCCAATGTATTGCATCATTTTTAATAAATGAGATTAGTTTTTTTGAGATATAAAAAAAAGTTTACATTGTATTTTCTCAACGGGGGGGGGGGGGGGGGGGGAGTGGATGGCCGAATGGTTAGCACACGCGCACTGTATCATACGGTCTGTCACTCATTGAGTCAACTGGTGGGGTTTCAATTCCCCGGTTGAACGTGACAAGAAGTAGGGTCGCCTGTCTAACCTCGTGGGTTTTCTTCGGGTCCTCCGGTTTCCTCCCACTGCTAAAGACCCCTACGCACAAGCGAATTATTGAAATAAAAAAATTAAACCATTTGTTAGTCCCGAAATGACCTAGTTTGTGTTGAGTGGATGTTAAACCCCATTTCTCTCTCTCTCTCTATTTTCTCAACATCTGAGACCCTTAATACATAATTACTGGGGATGATATGAAAACCATTACATCTTAGAAGACTTATTCCTGACTAAAATCAAATGTAGGCTTTCAGTCTATACACATTCAAATGTAGTCTTATCTAAAATCATATTGGTCCAAAAACTATTCAAATCTGTCAAGCGTAACATAATTCATCAACATCTATAGTCTCATTACTTTCTATATATGATGTTATCTTTTTCTGTCTTAGAATGTCAGTCTTGTCAATATCCATGAATATGGTTGTAAAGAAGGAAAAGGAATATTAGTTATAACCTGCTGACATGTAGACATGTAACACATTAAGGTTTTAACATATCTGTATTATGTTGTACACAATCATGTAACACATTGAGGTTTTAACATAGCTTTTATGTTGTACACACTAGTACATTCAAACACATTGAGCTTTTAATATAGCTGTGTTATGTTGTACACAGGTAGCACATTGAAGGGATGAGCGCTAACATAAAATAACTGCATAGATAGCATTTTTTGATAACCTAACAAAATAAGGTCTATAGATCGAAAAGGTGATCTAATTATAAGCTTACTCAAGTAGAAAACCTCCAAATCATTAGCCAGGAATTTGTTTTGAAGACTTAATCATGCTTTATCCTTTGTATATTTTTGTTGTTAATAAAAGCCAAGCTAATATAACAGTAAATTTATGAAGGCATAGTCATGCAGCTGCCCAAGCAAATTTGTCTAATTTCTGTAGCATTAGTAAAAATATAATTATACAGGAAATATTTTAAGATAAACTATATGCATTTTGTTAACATTTAATTTTGTCCCCCTCCTTCCTAAGAAAGCAGAAGACTATTAAAATGGGTTCGTCCGTCATACTTTTGGGACACAATAACTTTCTTTCTAATTGAGCTAGAATTTTCAAACAAACTTGGTGTAGGTGTTTATTAGTTCAATGCCTTGATGGAGTTCGAAGATGAGCATTTTCTGCTTAGGGTAAGCAGAGATAAGCAATTTGATTGGTTGATGCTTTGGGACACGATAACTTTAGTTCTAATTAAGTGAGAGTGATGAAACTTGGTGTATAGTTTCATTACATCATAACCTTGACTAAGTTTGATAATGAGCATTTTCTGCTCAGGTTAAGCAGAGCGATTATCAATTTGATTGGCCGAGACTTTGAAACACAATAACCATCCTTCTAATTGTGCTAGAACGTTCAAACTTGGTGTAGGTGTTTATTAGGCAAATGCCTTGATGCTTTGATTCAATCTGATAGAGAGTGATGTAACTTAGTGTATAGTTGATAATCAATTTGATTGCTTGATACTTTTGAAAAAAATAAATGTGCGATTAATTAATATGTGTCATCTATTTATTTTGGGATTTCGGCAGGGGACATCAGCCTCACTGTTGACTTGTTTTTTTTGGATTTCGGCGGGGTAAATCAGCCTCACTGTTAGCTTGTTTTTTTATTTTTTGTAGTATAGAAAAAGAAGTCGATATAAAAATTAAAGAAACCATAGATATAAGTTGTTTATCAGAAGATTCAGCTAAGATAGTAGTACAGCATTTAGCTAGGTGGGTATTATACACATATACAGCATGCTAGGTGTTATAATATAATACTGATCTTATAAACACAACATGCTAGTGGTATTATAATACACATATTATAAGTTATATATAACATGTACTATAGAGTTAACTGTTTTATTTCTATTCTGTAGGTATCCTGATGTAGTAAATGAATCATTCGATGTATTTGAACCTTATGTTATTGTGCAATATCTATTTAAACTAGGGTAGGTTATAATTTTAGCATT